AGGTGGATATGGCATTATTACATAAAACCCCAAGATATATGCTTTCAAAATCCCTCTTCTTTTTTTAAGTTTTAAAATGTTTAATTCCAGTATAGTTAACATACAGTGTTATATTAGTTTCAAGTATACAGTATAGTGATTCACCAATTCTATACATCATTCAGTGCTCATCATGATAAGTATATTCCTTAAATCTTTATCACCTGTTTCAGGCATCCCCCCCACCTCCCCTCTGGTAACCATTAGTTTTTGTTCTCAGTAGTTAAGCATCTGTTTCCTGGCTTCTCTCTCTCTCTCTCTCTCTCTCTCTCTCTCTCTCTCTCCCCCCCTCTCCCCCTTGCTCCTTTGTTTTGTTTCTTAAATTGCACGAATGAGTGAAATAATATGGTATTTGTCTTTTTCTAAATGAATTACTTCACTTAGCATTATACTTTCTAGGTCCATCCCTCTTCTTTTGACCTGTTTTCTGGAGGTATCTATGCTTAGTTCCATAGTCTTAGGAAAACATTGTAATATAATTATATAGTATGATTTCCTAATAGATTGTGATCAGCTTCTCTTTCTCATTAGCATGTGATTTCAAATTAGTTGTCAAATGAATGGAGCAGTAGTGTACTTGACAGTTCATTTTTAACTAAGTATATTTTTCCAGTGTTACAGCATTGTTGGCCCCCTGAATTAAAAGGATGATCATCAGTTATAGACATCAGATAATACTATTTTGGTTGTGATTGAGCCTTCATAATTTTTGTATTTATCAACAATTACTATGATATGGTATTGAAAGAATAGTGGTTCCTCTTTCAAAGTTATTAAATCTTAATTTCACAGTAACAACTTTCACAGATCAACTATGACTAAATACTGTGTATAAGTTTGCCAGGGCTGCCATAACTAAGTACCACAGACTAAGTTAAACAACAAATTTATTTTATGACAATTCTGGAGGCTAGAAGTTAAAGAATAAGGTGTTAGCAGAGTTAGTTTCCTCTGAGGCCACTCTCCTTGGTTTATAGATGCTGTCCTCTTGCTGTGTCTCACCCTTTGTGTATCTGTGTCCTAATCTCATTTTCTTATAAGAATACCAGTTATACTGAAAAGGGTCCATCCTAAAGATCTTATTTTACCTTAAATACCTTTAAATTTTTTTAAAGTTTATTTATTTTTGAGATAGAGAGAGAGAGAAAACACAAGTGGGGAAGGGGCAGAGAGAGAGGGAGACACAGTATCTGAAGAAGGCTCCAGGTTCTGAACTGTCAGCACAAACCGTGAGATCATGACCTGAGTGAAAGTTGGACACTTAGCCAGCTGAGCCACCCAGGTGCCCTCTTAATTATCTTTTTAAAGATCCTATCTCTAAACAGTCATTTTCTGATTTACTAGGGGTTAAGACTTTAGCGTATGAATTTTGAGGGGAAAAGTTTTAGTCCATAATGTATTGTATACCTTTTTGTTGCATTACGGGATGTGATATATCAGACAAAATTTGTTATCCTCAACTCTACATTTTGTCCTGTATCCCCAATGCGTAGCACAGTGCCTAATACATAGCATATAATCCATAAATGTTGATTTATTTGAATGAGTGAGTGATTAAAGAGAAAAGACTGTATATATGGAAAGATTATGTAATATATCATGACTTCATTGTACCAGAATAGAGAACACTTTTTGAAGATGATTCACTCTTAAGAGAAAACAAATGGATTTCTGATAGGTACATCACTATCTTATTTCAGGCTAGAATGCTTCCACTCTCAAGCTTTTGGAATGGTGCAAAAACCAGAAGAAAGTGAAGTAGTGGAAGGGAAGAGGGCTGCAGCTTACACAAAAATGTTTTAATAGTAAACATCAATAAGTATAGCCTTGGGGAGGCTGAGAAATGTTAAGCAATAGACAAGAAGTGGGTGGGGAATAGATGAAATAAGAAAGACCAATAATACAAAGATGACACAGAAGGTGTCAGATGATTTGACAATAAAAGTGAGCCAGTACATACAAAATATAAAACATTTCTGTAATACGTAGCTGTGTATATGTGTATTTGTATATCTATATTCATATGCCCATATAACTATATCTTAGAAACACTTAGACAGTATTTTTCAGTCCTAATCATGTATCAGAATCATCTAGGGAAATTTTTAAAAAGCTAGATCTCACCCTAGTTCTACTGAACCATAATCTCTAAGGGTGGGACTCAAACATGTATATTAAATAAATTTTTATTTGCAGCTAGGGCACTGTAAGCTACTGTCTACTTAAAGGCAAACTAGCCATAGTTTAGTAATATAATGCATGATAGTTGTTTGCCTGGGAAGTTATGTTTTTATTAGAGAAGAAAGATGCCCAATTAGTAAATTAATATCATGACTTTTTTTAAAAAAGTACACTGGGTGTTATATGGAAACCAACTTAAAAATAAACTATTTGTTAAAAAAAATCTTAAAAAAAAGTACAGATTCTAGAGTCATTATGGCCTTCATTTGTATTGAGTACAACACAGTATAATAAAACTACTGACCATGGATAATCTGGAAAATGTGTTTATTTATATTCCTTACACTCTAAGGAAAAATGTGTATTTAATTAAATTTAGAAATAAAGTCCGTTGTGTTTGAAATTGATGTTATCCATTATCCAGAATGAATTTCCTTTAAGTATTAAAAAAAAAGAATTCTGGATACATATTTTTTATGTTTTAAGGGGTATTTAAAACAATTTTGAGGTTTCTTACTAGTTAATTTATCTTTAAAGTATTTCTTTTTACAAATGAGAATAAGCTGATGGTTGCCAGAAGGGAGGGGAGCTGGAAGATGGGCAAAATGGTTGAAGTGGAGTCAGAGATACAGGCTTCCAGTTACAGAATGAATAGGTCATGGGAATAAGAAAAACAGCATAGGGAATATAGTCAGTGGTATTATAAGAGCATTGTGTGGTGACAGATGGTAGCTCCACTTTGGGCGAGCATAGAATATCATATAGAATAGTTGAATCACTACCTTGTATGCCTGAAACTAATGTGTCATATTGTGTCATAACAATATTCTATGGTGACTATCCACTGGGAAAGGTGGTCTTTTGTAATCTAGTAGCATTTTCATGTTGAAACTTTTTATGGTAATGCTGCCAAAAATTGAAAGACATATTACATTTTTATTTTTATTTATTTATTTTTTTAAATTAGTGTTTATATCTGAGAGAAAGAGAGAGAGACAGCGTGAGCAGGGGAGGGTCAGAGAGAGAAGGAGATACAGAATCGGAAGCTGCCTCCAGGCTCTGAGCTAGCCGTCAGCACAGAGCCGGATGCGGGGCTTGAACCCACGAACTGTGTGATTATGACCTGAGCCGAAGTCGGACACTTAACTGACTAAGCCACCCAGGCGCCCCGCGGTTTCAGTTTTTTAAAAAAGAAAGCCCTTAAAAAGGGAAACTCATTCTCATAGCTACTTAAGAGTCTACTGAAATAATATTTTAATGTATAATGAACATCCATGGACATACTTTCAGAGCTGATTCTTCATTTCTCACTGAACACTCCTACATACCACTCTGGTGAGTGAATGTTTGACTACCTGTGTTATGTTAGCTATCATGAAGTCTAGCTTACTTGGGAGTATGTTCCTGCCCACTTAGGCCACAGTCACTATTAATTAATTAAAGTATGAATTGAGAGTATTCTTGCCATGTAGACCAGAATTAATATGGTATTATAGAAAGCTACCAAGATTTCTAGACATTGTGATTAACTGGTCATGTGAACTTAAACTCTGTGGGTCTCTTTTTTTCCCTCTATATCGTCAGAATGTTAGATACTATATCCCAGCTCTTGTTATTTTGTGACATGTAATAAATTTGAGGTTGTTTTTTTTTTTTTTTCCGTCCTAGCTACTGTGCTTCTCTAGGCACTAGAGTTACACCTCATTTGAGTGAAATCTTCACAGCTGAATAGAGTCCTAGATCAAAAAGCAGAAACACTCCCTGGGTGCATTCTTTTCTGCCTGGCCCAGATGGTAGGAAATCTGGCATATAATTTATATACAAAATTTCAATAAAATTATGGCCTGGAAGAAACATTTGCTTAGGATTTGCAGATTTTGTTTGTCTATAGCCAGTTTTTCATTTCAGTAATGTGGCTAGTTGGACATTTAAATATTTATATATCGCTGACTACTTAAAATGCTACAGTGAAATTCTATTTTATTTTATTTTATTTTTAATATTTTTATTTATTTCTAGGAGACAGAAAGAGAGACAGCGTGAGCAGGGGAGGGTCAGAGAGAGAGGGAGATACAGACTTTGAAATAGGCTCCAGGCTCTGAGCTGGCAGTCAGCACAGAGCCCGACGCGGGGCTCGAACCCGCGAACCGCGAGATCATGACCTAAGCGAAAGTCGGACGCTCAACTGACTAAGCCACCCAGGCGCCCCAATGAAATTCTATTTTAAAGAACTTTTGAAGCTCACCTATTTTGTCATGCCCTATAATTTCCGAGGTTTTATCTATCTCTTTTTCTGCATCTACTTCATAAATCATACTCTAGAGAGGGTCTTTTTTTTTTTTTTTTTTTTTTAATGTAGACTCCATGCCCAACGTGGGGCTTGAACTAACAACCCTGAGGGTAAGAGTTGCATGTTTTACCAACATTAAGATTTGCATGCTCAACTGACTGAGCCATCCAGGCACCCCTCCAATGAGGGTTTTAAAACTGTTAATTATTGATGTTTTTCTTCTGTCACTATCTAGTTGCAAGGGAAAGCTGGAACATAGATTTTATGTGCTTATATGTACCTGCAATTATTTAATAGTGGTGGTGAAGATGATGGTGTATCTCTATGTGTTAGAAAACAGGGAAATGAATACACCAGGAGCCCTTAAAACTCTGTTAGGTTTAAGGAGTTGGATATTCAGTTAATTTCTGGTGTTATTTCTGGTTCTAAAGGGAGCTAATCTTAAGATGTTGCAGCTGGATTTGAGTATTCTTTGGATTTCTTTTTACAGGATGAAGAAATTGTTAAAGAAATCCCTATTACTCAACATGTTAAGGAAGGGTATGAGAAAGCAGATCCTGCACAATTTGAGTTGCTCAAAGTTCTTGGTCAAGGATCCTTTGGAAAGGTAATAAATGCTTTATTCTACATTTTTTCTTCTTCTAAACATTAAGCAAATAAAATGTACACATAGATAAATATATGAAAAATGTGCCATTTCTAAATGTGTCAAAGGATACAGACAAAGGTAATTCTGTAATTTTACTGGTTTTATTTCTATTATACTTTTAATACCATTTCTTTATACTACTCTATAATAATCAATGTTTTCCATTACCTTTGGCTCAATGATTTCTTTTTTTGATGTATATTTATTTATTTTCAGAGAGAGACAGAGAGAGAGAGAGACAGAGAGAGCAGGGGAGGGTCAGAGAGAGAGAGAGACATACAGAATCCGAAGCAGGCTCCAGGCTCTGAGCTAGCTGTCAGCAAAGAGCCCGATGCGGGGCTCGAACCCACAAACTGCGATATCATGACCAGAGCTGAAGTCGGACGCTCGAGTGACTGAGCCACCCCGGTGCCCCATGGTTCTTGACTTTGTATACCTAACATCTAAGACATGAAAGTTATTCCACACACACAGACACATGCCTTTAGGAAAATAGTAACAGAAACAATTTAAGGGGAGAAAGATAAGGAGAAACTACTCATTTCAGTGTGGCTGAGATTTAGTTATAAAGGGAAAAAGCAGGGCAACTGAGCAGTGATTATTATCGAATAATTTTAAAAGAAAGATACATACATATACACATGCACATAATTTAAATTCAGGTTTAGTTATCATTCCGAGTAGTCTTGGCTTCAGGAGTAGAATCCAATGATTCATCACTAACATATGACACTGAATGCTCATCTCAAAAAGTGCCCTTGTTAATGCCCATCACCCATTTTACCCAACCGCCACTCACATCCCCTCCAGCAACTCTGTTTATTCTCTGTATTTAAGAGTCTCTTATGGTTTGCCTCCCTCTCTGCTTTTATCTTATGTTTCCTTCCTTTCCCCTATGTTCATCTGTTGAGTTTCTCAAATTCAACATATGAGTGAAATCATATGATATCTGTCTTTTTTTGACAGACTTATTTCATTTAGCTTAATACTCTCTATTTCCATCCATGTAGTTGCAAATGGCAAGATTTCATCCTTTTCATTGCCAAGTAGTATTCAATTGTGTATATAGATAGATAGATGATAGATAGATAGATAGATAGATAGATAGATAGATAGATAGATAGATAGATATGATAGACATTTGGGCTCTTTCCATAATTTGGCTATTGTTGGTAGCACTGCTATAAACTTTGGAGTGTATGTGCCCCTTTGAATAGCATTTTTGTATCCTTTGGATAAATTCCTAGTAGTGCAATTCCTGGGTTATAGGGTAGTTCTGCTTTTAATTTTTTTAAATTAAAAATGGAACTTCCATACTGTTTTCAGAGTGGTTGCACCAGTTTACATTCCCACCAACAATGCAAAAGTGTTCCTTTTCTCCACATCCTCTCCAAAATCTGGTGTCTCCTGATTTGTTAATTTTAGCCATTTTGACAGGTGTGAGGTGGTATCTCATTGGGGTTTTGATTTCTATTTCTCTTATTATGAGTCATGTTGAGCTTTTTTCATGTGTTTGTTAGCCAACTCGATGTCTTCTTTAGCAAAGTGTCTCTTCATACCTTTTTGCCTATTACTTCCCTAGACTGTTTTTTGTGTGTTGACTTTGGTAAATTCTTTATCGATTTTGGATACCAGCCTTTTATCCAATATGTCATTTGCAGATATCTTCTCCCATTCCATCAGTTGCCTTTTAGATTTGTTGGTTGTTTGTTTTGCTCTGCATAAGGTTTTTATCTTGATGACATCCCAGTAGTTCATTTCTGCTTTTATTTTCCTTGCCTCCGGAAATATGTCAAATAAGAAGTTACGATGGCCTAGGTCAAAGAGTTGTTGCCTGTTTTCTCCTCTAGGATTTTAATGGTTTCCAGTCTCGCATTTAGGTATTTCATCCATTTTGAATTTCTTTGTGTATATTGATGTAAGAAAGTGTTCAAGTTACATCCTTCTGCATGTTTCTGTCCAATCTCCCAGCAACATTTTCTAAAGAGACTGTCTTTTTTTTTCCATTGGATACTCTTACCTGTTTTCTCAAAGATTAGTTGGCCATATATTTTTGCATCCATTTCTGTATTCTCTATGCTATTCCATTCGTCTATGTGTTTGTTTTTGTGCCAATACCATCCTGTCTTTTTTTTTTAATTTTTTAAAATTTATTTTTGAGAGAAAGGTAGAGACAGCATGAACAGGGTAGGGTCAGAGAGAGAGGGAGACACAGAATCTGAAGACAGGCTCCAGGCTCTGAGCTAGCTGTCAGCACAGAGCCCGACGCAGGGCTTGAACCCACTAACCGCGAGATCATGACCTAAACAAAAGTCGGACGCTTAACCAACTGAGCCACCCAGGCGCTCCAATACCATCCTGTCTTGATTACAGCTTTGTAATACAGATTAAAGTACAGTGGTTTTTTTTTTTTTATTATTCTGTATCTTTTATTTCTGCTCTCATCTTTATTATTTCCTTTTTGCTGCTGGATTTGGGCTTTATTCACTGTTCCTTTTCTAGGTCCTTTCGGTGTCAGGTTAGGTTGTGTATTTGGGACCTTTCTTGCTTCTTGAGATAGGCATGAATTGCAATATATTTTCTTCTTAGGACTGCATCCCAAAGGGCTTGAACTGTTGTGTTTTTATTTTCATTTGCTTCTATGTATTTTTTAAATTATTATTTAATTTACTGGTTAACCCATTCATTCTTTTGTAGGATGTTCTTTAGCCTCTATGTATTTGAGGGTTTTCCAAATTTTTTCTTATGGTTGACTTCAAGTTTCATAGTCTTGTGATCTGAAAATATGCATGATATGATCTCATTCTCTTTGTACCTGTGGAGGGCTGATTTGTGACCCAATATGGGATCTATTCTGTTGAACGTTCCACGTGCACTGGAAATAATGTGTACTTTACTGCTTTAGGATGAAATGTTTTCAGTATAGCTGTTAAGCCCATCTGGCCCAGAGCTGTTGTTTCCATGTTGATATTCTGTTTAGATGATCTATACATTGCTCTATGTGGAGTATTAAAACCTCCTACAATTACGACATTATTATCAATAAGTTTGCTTTTGTTTGTGATTAATTGATTTATATATTTGGGTAGTCTCTTGTTGTGGGCATAAATATTTATAATTGTTAGCTCTTCTTGATGGATAGACACCTTAAGTATGATATAATGCCCTTTTCATGTCTTATTACAATCTTTGGTTTAAAATCTACTTCATCATATCAGATAAAGGGCTAGTATCCAAAATCTATAAGGAACTCACCAAACTCCACACCCAAAAAACAAATAATCCAGTGAAGAAATGAGCAGAAGACATGAATGGACACTTTTCTAAAGAAGACATCCAGATGGCCAATAGGCACATGAAACGATGTTCAACATCACTCATCATCAGGGAAGTACAAATCAAAACCGCACTAAGAACTATCTCACACCAGTCAGAGTGGCTAAATGAACAAATCAGGAGACTCTAGATGCTGGTGAGGATATGGAGAAATGAGCACCCTCTTACACTGTGGGTGGGAATGCAAAACTAACGCAACCACGCTGGAAAACAGTGTGGAGGTTCCTCAAAAAATTAAAAATAGAACTACCCAATGACCCAGTAATAGCGCTGCTAGGAATTTACCCAAGGGATACAGGAGTGCTGATGCATAGGGGCACATGTACCCCATGTTTATAGCAGCACTTTCAATAATAACCAAATCATGTAAAGAGCCTAAATGTCCATCAAAAATAATGTGGTTTATATATACAATAGAATACTACTTGGCACTGAGAAAAAATGAAATCTGGCCATTTATAGCAATGTGGATGGAACTGGAGGTCATTATACTAAGTGAAATACGTCAGTTAGAGAAAGACAGATACCATATGTTTTCACTCATATGTGGACCTTGAGAAACTTAACAGAAGACAATGGGGAAGGGGTGGGGGAGAAAGTTACAGAGATGGAGGGAGGCAAACCGTAAGAGACTTAAATACTGAGGACAAACTGAGGGTTGACAGGGGTGGGAGAGAGGGGAAAGTGGGTGATAGGAATGGAGGAGAGCACTTGTTGGGATGAGCACTGGGTGTTATACGGAAACCAATTTGGCAATAAATTATATTTTTAAAAAATCTACTTCGTCTGATATAAGTATGGCTGCTCTGGCCTGTTTTGATGTCCATTAGCATGAAAGATGGTCTTCCATCGTCTCACTTTCATCCTGCAGGTGTCCTCAGGTCTAAAATGAGTATCTTGCAGGAAGAATATAGATGAATCTTTTTTTTTTTTTTAATCCATTCGGATATCCTATGTCTTTTGATTGTACATTTACTCCATTTACATTCAGAGTGATTATTGAAATATATTAATTTAGTGCCATTATGTTATCTGTAGATTCCATGTTTGTGGTGATGTTCTCCAGTTACTTGTAGTCTTTTCTGCTTTCTGCTCAAAGAGTCCCCCTTAGTATCTCTTGCAGGGCTGGTTTAGTGGTCACAAACTCGTTTAGTTTTTGTTTGTCTGGGAAAGCCTTTCTCTCTCCTTCTTTCTGAATGGCAGCTTTGCTGGATTTGCAGGATTCTTGGCTGCATATTTTTCCTACTCAGCACATTGAACATTTTTAGCACTTCCTTCTGGCCTGCCAAGTTTCAGTGGACAGGTCTGCCACTGCCCTTATGTGTCTACCCTTGTAGGTTAAGGCCTATCCTTTCCCTAGCTGCTTTCAGAATTCTCTTAATCTCGGGGCGCTTGGGTGGCTCAGTCGGTTGAATGTCCGACTTTGGCTCAGGTCATGATCTCATGGTTCGTGGGTTCGAGCCCCACGTCGGGCTCTGTGCTGACATCTAGCTCAGAGCCTGGAGCCTGCTTTGGATTCTGTATCTTCCTCTCTTTCTGACCCTCCCTTGCTCACGCTGTCTCTCTCTCTCTCTCCCTCCCTCTGTCTCTCTCAGAAATAAATAAAACACATTAAAAAATTA